CACCCACGTGTTGTTGGCTGTAACTCAGTTAGATGATCACATGTAAAGCAAGGTGGATGGAAAAAGTAAGCCAGCAATTTGTCCATGAAGAAGAGGAGGTGTGAGGAGATTAGATGAGCAATATGAAATTCACCAGAGAGGAAAAGACCTTTAAATAACATGGTAAAAACTTCTGTTAAGCTAGCAGAGATGTGCAGAACATCCCAATGGTAGCAACGTCAACATCCTGGGCTCTGGCAATCCTTCCGCCTCAGCCTTCCGAGTAGCCGGAATTACAGGCGTGTGCTACCATGCCCGGCTAATTTTTTTAATTTATTGTAGAGATGCTGTGTCTGCCACTGCCCAGGCGGGTCTCGAACCCGCGGGCTCAGGCAATCCATTCACCTCAGCCTCCTAAAGGCGCAGGATTACAGGCTTAGCCAGCGAGCCCGGCCGTCAGTGATTTTGATGTTTAGGTATCTTAGTGCTAAGGTATCCTGAAATTAATATTTTACTACTACCAAATATGGCTATATTTTTTTGAGAAAAAGGTATTTGGAATCATTTTATATGTGATCTAACCTCAAGGTTTTTTTGCCTGCCTTTACTTGCTTCTGTTGTCCTTTTTATATTATCATATTATATTTTCTTCATTAGGTCACCAGGCAGCAGGGATTGGAAACCAGACGACAGGAATTGGACACCAGACAATACCAGTTAGCCATCCAGCAGCAGGAATGGGTCATCAGGCCAGAGGAATGAGCCTTCAGTCAAATTATCTCGGACTAGCAGCAGCACCTACAATTATGAGTTATGCTGAATGTTCTGTCCCAATTGGAGTGACTGCTCCATCCCTGCAGCCTGTGCAGGCTCGAGGTGCTGTGTCTGCCACTGCCATTATAGAACCTCCGCCGCCACCACCTCCTCCTCCTCCACCACCACCACCACCACCAGCTCCCAAAATTCCACCACCTGAGAAGTCAAAAAAAGGAAAGAAAGACAAGGTATAGCAAATCTCTTTTTTAAAAAGTTCACTTAAAAAAAGTTTAATCGAGGTCATAGTCACGTAACTTAAAATTAGCCGTTTGCAAGTATACTTTTTTTTTTTTTTGAGTCGGAGTCTCACTCTGTCACCCAGGCTGGAGTACAGTGGCACGCTCACAGTCACCCCAGTCTCGACTTGCTGGGCTCAGGCGATCCTTCCACTTCAGCCTTCCAAGTAGCTAGAACTACAGCCGCATGCCACCACACCCAGCTAATTTTTTGATTTATTGTAGAGACGAGGTCTCACCAAGTTGCCCAGGCTGGTCTCGAACCCCTGGACCCAGGCAATCCTCTCACCTCAGCCTCCCAAAGTACTGGGATTACAGTCTTGAGCTACTGTGCCCAGCTTACAAGTGAACATTTTAGTAATGTTTAGTACATTCACAATATCATACAACCACTACTTCTGTTTAGTTATAACACATTTTTATCAGTCTCCAAAGAACATCCTGTATCCATTAAGCAGTTAGCTCCAATTATCCTTTCCCTCATCTCCTGGGAACCACTCTTTAGATGTCTGTCTCTGGATTTACCCATTCTGGATAGTTGATATAAATGGAGTCATGCAATACATTTTAAATATATTCTTTAACCTTATGGTAAAGGTTTCTGCTGAGAAACTTCTTGATAATGTTATTATGGATCCCTTGAATGTGGGAAGTTACTTTTTCCCCTTATGCTTTCAAAATTCTGTTTTTGGCTTTTGACCATTTGAGTATGATTGTGTCTTGGTGTGACCTTTTTGGGGTTTATATTGTACTGTAGTTTGTGGAGCTTCTTGGGTATGTATATCCACATCTTTCCTTAAATTTGGGAAATTTGGGGCCATTTTTTTCAAATAAGTGTCTCTTTCTCTCTTTGAAGTCCCATAATGTACATATTGACCCACTTGATGGTGTTCCATAAGTCACTTAGGCTCTATTCACTTTATTTCTTTTTCTTTCTTTTTTTTGATTTGGAGTCTTACTCTGTCGCCCAGACTGGAGTACAGTGGCCGCTTCCGGCCACTGCAGCCTCGACCTACTGGGCTCCAGCGATCTTTCTGCCTCAGCCTTCCAAGTAACTAGAACTCCAGGCGTGCACTACCATGCCCGGCTAATTTTTTGATTTATTGTAGAGACGAGGTCTCGCCAAGTTGCCCAGGTGGGTCTCGAACCCGTGGGCTCAGGCAGTCCACTCACCTCAGCCTCCTAAGGCACGGGATTACAGGATGAGCCACCGAACCCAGCTAAGCCTATTTCTTTATGGTCAGTTTCTGGAGATATAGTTTGTTTGAGTGGACCATGCTTCCCTGTTTCCTTATGTTTTGTGATCTTTTGTTGGTAATTGGGCATTTGGCAAAATAAGCTACCTCTCCCAGCCTTTGCAGACTGAATCTTTTGGGGGAGAAGACCCTCAATAATCAGTCCAGCATGAATGCTTGATGTCAGTCTCACATCTGCTTATTCTAGGGTCCCTAGATGTTCGCTTTTTCTGCCCTAATCTCCTGTCCCCAAGTATCCACAGGTTTGTGGTCTCCTTCAGTTTTTACTGCAGTACCCATCAATGGCTTTCTTGGTCTCCAATATAATATCTAAAGCCCTCACCTGAATTCCAAGGCAGACAGTACAGAGACCAGTTCCTTGGGGAACGAAGACAGGCTAGAACATTGTAAACAAGTTTATTTTCTTTACCTCCTGTGGGAGAGTACTAGGAGTTTGGCTACTTTCTCCCAGTTGGACTAGGGTAAGTTGGGTAAGGGTGACAAAAACACCACCCATTTTCTTACTGTTTTGAGTGTGACTTTTTCTTTATTGGGTGTGTGTTTGGCTGATACAGACCTTTGACTAGTTTCTGTAGCTTCCACAAAGCTATTTTAGTCAGTCTGGAATTGTTTACATGTTTCCCTGTGGGAATGAGAGTCTGAAATTTTGTAATCTACCATTTTGCTGCTTTCTGACTTCATCCACATGGATGCTTTTGAAAACTCTAATTTGCCAGAGAAATTCATCATCTTTTCCTTAGTCTTTTGATGCTTTCTTGTTTGCCTCATCTGTAGTCTTGTGCTCCAGGGGTTAGCAGGTAGTTCGTTTGCCTTAGTTTCAAGGAACCAGTCTGAATCAATTTGGAGTTCAGATGAGACCTTATCTCTACAATAAATAAAAAATATACTGGGTTTGGTGGCGTGCACCTATAGTCCCAACTACTTGGGAGATTTAGGCAGAGGGATCGCCTGAGCCCAGCAGGTTGCGGTTGTGGGAGCTGACATCATGCCAGGTTGAGGCTGCAGTAGCTGTGATCGTGCCACTGTGCTCCAGCCTGGGCATCAGCGTGAGAGTAACTCAAAAAATAAAAATAAAATAAATTTTTAGTTCAGTCATAATTTGCCTTGACTCAGTTCTTTAGGTAGGTACCAGATTAGTTCAAACAGACACACACAATTCTTTTTCCTTTTTCTTTTTTTGAGTTGGAGTTTCACTCTGATGCCCAGGCTGGAGCACAGTGGCATAGTCATGGCTCACTTTAGCCTTGACATCCTGGGTTCAGGCAGTCCTTCCTCCTCAGCCTCCCAAGCATCAGTGTACCTGACTGATTTCTTTTTTTTTTTTTAATTATTAGAGATGAGGTCTCAACTGTCTTATCTGGGCTACTCTCAAGCTCCTGGGCTCAAGCAGTTTTCTCACCTTGGCCTCTCAAAGTGCTGGGATTACAGATGTGAGCTATTGTGTCTGGCCACAATTCTTTAGTAAAAAGATCTGCTTTCCTGTCTCCAAAATCATGTACGGGAGTCTCACTCTAGTCTCCCCAGAAAGTTAAAAACTGTCAATGACAGTCAAAAGAAGGTATCAGGCATGGAGGTCATTAATATAAAAATACTGAAAATAAGCCGGGCTCGGTGGCTCAGCCTGTAATCCCGCGCCTTTGGGAGGCTGAGGTGAGTGAATTGCCTGAGCCCGCAGGTTCGAGACCCGCCTGGGCAGCGAGACCTCATCTCCACAATAAATCAAAAAATCAGCCGGGCGTGGTAGCGCATGCCTGTAATTCCAGCTACTTGGAAGGCTGAGGCGGAAGGATCGCTGGAGCCCAGCAGGTCAAGGCTGCGGTGGCCAGGAGTGGCCACTGCAGTCCAGTCTGGGTGACAGGTGACAGAGTGAGACTCCAACTCAAAAAAAAAAAAAATACTGAAAATATTACTTATTTTCATAGAATTTTGAAGATCTAATTTAAGAAACCCGTTTTTTTCAAGTGCAAGCAGGGAAATAGGCTTGGGACCCCATACTCAATTATCACATGAGTATAGCACTCAGTCTTGTCTACTACTTGTCAAGCTAGGTTAACCTGGTTAGGTCTTCAGACGCGTGGTTGATTTTCTTCAAAAACAGAATAAGAATTGGTCTTAAGCCAGAAATGGTGGCTCATACCAGCACCTTGGGAGGCCAAGAGGGGAGAATTGCTTGAGCCCAGTACTTTTGAGACCAGCCTAGGCAACATAGCGAGACCTCATCTCTACAATAAATACAAAAATAAGCCAGGTACATGTGCCTTGTAGTACCAGCTACTCTGGAGGCTGAGGTGGAAACATCTCCTGAACCCAGGAGGTTGAGGCTGCTATGAGCTGTGATTGTTCCACTATATTCCAGCCTGGGTGATAGAATAAGACCCTGACTCAAAAAAACAAAATTGCTTAGTAATTTATAATACATTTGTCAGGTACTTCCCCATGGGCTTGGGATTTAGCAGTGAATCAGACCGGCAAAAATCTCTGCTTTTTAAGACTTTTCTTATGTCAGAGGGTGGGTTGGGAGACAGATAAGGGGGAAAAAAATAGATATTTTTATAAGAAAGGTGGGAAAATAAGCAGAATGAGAGGACAGAATGCTTCAGATAAGGTAGTTAGGAACGGCCTCTTTGCTAGGGTTCCATCAGAAACCTGAAGGTAGTAAAAGAGCAAGCCATGTGGATACTTTGTTCTACTTTTAAAAAGTATTGCATACATTTTTTTTTCTATGCAAGTACAGGCAGTTGGGACTCTGAAGGTAAACCATAGAAGAAAAAGAAAATTTTATTTATTTATTTATTTATTTTTGAGTTGCAGTCTCACTCTGTCGCCCAGACTGGAGTGCAGTGGCCACTCCCGGCCACTGTAGCCTCAACCTGCTGGGCTCCAGCGATCCTTCCGTCTTAGCCTTCCAAGTAGCTGGAATTACAGGCACGCGCTACCATGCCCAGCTGATTTCTTTATTTATTGTAGAGATGAGGTCTCACCAAGTTGCCCAGGCGGGTCTCGAACCCGCGGGCTCAGGCAATCCACAAGCCTCCCCAAGCGTGGGATTACAGGCTGAGCCACTGAGCCCGGCTAAGAAAATTTATTATACCTTCTTAGAACTAACCTTATCATTAATATTCCAATATACCTCCTTGCTTTTTTTTCATAGTTAGTTTTTTAGCTCTCTTCATTTATCATTTGATGTGAACAATGCATCTGTTAAAAATTTGAAAAAGAGGCCGGGCTTGGTGGCTCAGCCTGTAATTCCAGCGCTTTGTGATAGAATAAGACCCTGACTCAAAAAAACAAAATTGCTTAGTAATTTATAATACATTTGTCAGGTACTTCCCCATGGGCTTGGGATTTAGCAGTGAATCAGACCGGCAAAAATCTCTGCTTTTTAAGACTTTTCTAAGCGGCCACTGCACTCCAGTCTGGGTGACAGAGTGAGACTCCAGCTCAAAAAAAAAAATTTTTTTTAAAGAAATTGTAATTTTTTTTTTTAATTCAACTTTATTAGAGAGATGTAGGGTACAGGTCAGTATTAGGTACACAAGTAGGCTGCATGCAGGTGACTTTTGGGCTTCTAACTGGTCCTTCTTGTGGTTTAGGACCAGATACCCTTTGTGTTATGTCTGCCTCCCTCCCTCCCTTCTCCCTTCCCTGAGAACATTATAATTCTGAAGAGATAAATTTAAATTCCATAGAAAATGGAAAGCTAAAGGAAAGTTTTCTGACTTGATTTTATAAAACATCACATTTGCAGTTTTGGAGATTTTTTTTCCCTCAAATTTTGTAGATTTTTTATCCAAGACTTTTGGTTTATAGTTGGTAGACATTTCAGGAAGCACTTAGCTGGTAGTTGGGTGTGGTGGCTCTCACGCCTGTAATCCCAGCACTTTGGGAGGCAAGGCGAGAGGATTGCCTGAGCCCACAGGTTCGAGTCTAGCCTGGGCAAGATGGTGAGATCTCGTCTCTACAATAAATCAAAAAATTAGCTGGGCTTGGTGGCACATGCCTGTAGTTCCAGCTGCGTGGAAGACTGAGGTGTAGGAGAATAGCCTAAGCCCAGCAGGTAGAGGCCGTGAGCAGTGTGCCACTGTACTCCAGTCTGGGTGACAGAATAAGACTCTTCTTACTCAAAAAAATCAACAAATAAAAATCAGTATTTTTCTGTGTTCTGTTCTTTTGATTTTAAAATCTGCTTATTCTTTAGAACCAGGAAAAGATCCTGATCATTTCCTAATGTTAGTTTTATGTGCCTTCTAACCTTTAACCTTTGTTACAGGCAAAGAAGAATAAAACCAAAATGCCATCTTTGGTAAAGAAGTGGCAGAGTATCCAGCGTGAGTTAGATGAAGAGGATAATTCTAGTTCCAGTGAAGAGGACCGGGAATCAACTGCACAGAAGCGAATTGAAGAGTGGAAACAGCAGCAGCTGGTTAGGTATAAGAAAAGGGGTCACACGTGGGTGGATTATGGTGGTGGTTGTAGTCTTATTAGAGTAATCGTACTCTTAAAAGCCCAGCCCTTAATTTTTGCTGTGCTTTAGGAACTGTGTAAAGCAGTTTTAAATTTATATAATTCTTTTTCCTTTTAAAAATCAATCTTTAGCTTGTTGTTGGAGTCTTACTCTGTTGCTCAGGCTGGAGTGCAGTGGCACACTCACAGCCACCGCAGCTTTGACCTGCTGGGCAATAGAGTAGATCACCCCAGCGTCAACCTGCTGGGCTCTGGTGATCCACCTCAGCCTTCCAAGAAGCTGGAACCACAGACACATGCTACCATGCCCGGCTAAGCTTTGATTTATTGTAGAGACAAGGTCTCAACAAGTTGCCCGGGCTGGTCTCGAACCGTACAGGTTCAGGCAACCCACTCGCCTCGGCCTTCCAAAGTGCTGGCATTACAGTCTAAGCCACCGAGCCTGACTGAAATGGACAATTTTTTTTTTTTTTTTCTTTTTTGAGTTGGAGTCTCACTCTATCGCCCAGACTGGAGTGCAGTGGCCGCTCCCGGCCACCGCAGCCTCGACCTGCTGGGCTCCGGCGATCCTTCCGCCTCGGCCTTCCAAGTAGCTGGAATTACAGGCATGCGCTACCACACCCAGCTAATTTTTTTGATTTATTGTAGAGATGAGGTCTTGCTGCCCGGCAGGTCTCGAACCCGCGGGCTCAGGCAATCCACTCACCTAAGCCTCCCAAAGGCGCGGGATGACAGGCTGAGCCACCGAGCCCGGCTTGAAATGGACAATTTTTGTAATGCAGCTAACTGTTCATCATTTGTCAGTGCATAAACTAGTACATAACCATCTCATACAGATGGCAGATTTCACATTTTTCTCTGATAGGTGCTAACTTGTTTTAGATTTATAAAAGGGTCTAGTACCCAGTTTTGGTAACTGCAAGATAGAATTTGAGTTTTAATCCTTAAACAAATAAAACTAAAAGGAGAAAATCAAATACATTAGGTCAGGCATTCCAACTGGCGGCCCAGGACAGCCAGTAATGCAGCCTCACAAAATATTTTTTCTTTCTTTCGTTCTTTTTTTTTTTTTTAAGTTGAAGTTTTATTCTGTTGCCCAGGCTGCAGTGCAGTGGCACACTCATGGCCGTTGATTGCAGCCTTGACCTACTGGGCTCAGGCAGTCCTTCCACCTCAGCCTTTCAAGTAGCTGAAACTACAGGTACACGCCAGCATGCATGGCTAAATTTCTGATTTATTGTAGAGATGAGGTCTCGCCAAGTTGTTCAGCCTGGTCTCTAACTCATGGGCTGAGGTAATCCTCTCACCTTGGCCTCTCAAAGTGCTGGGATTATAGGCGTGAGTCACTACCAGGCTGACAAAATCTTGCAACATCATGTTTTTTAGCGTTTATTTTCTATGTTATCCCACATGTAGTTCATTTTTGAAGTTGACAATCACACCTTATTCATGACGTTGCTTTTTCGCAGCATGTACATTTGTGAGCAGCTGTTTTCAGTTATAAAGCACACAGAGCAAAATTCAAACAAACATTTCTGATGGGTACCTTGAGAACTAAGAATTGTGACCATTTCTATCGAACCAGACATTGATAGATTAATTTTACAAAAATAAGGTCAAATTTTCTGCTAGTTATATATTGTCATTTTTCCCAACTTCATGATAATAAATAGAAAAAATAAAAGTCTTATGTATTACACTCACTATATTATATAATTTATGTACGGCCCAAGACAGTTCTTTACTTGATACAGCTCAGGGAAGCCTCAAGTTGGATATTCCTGCATTAGGTCCAAGGATCTCTGATGGTATAATCTGCCTTGAATCATAAGTCCTGTAAACTAAGGAAAATTTTAATAAGATGTGTTTTAGTCCTTCATTGTGATTTTATTGGTACTGGGAATGGGTTCTTGTAAAATAAATATGGACTTACATATTACGTAGAACTAGAGGAGGGGGCTCATTTGTGTTTTGGTTGACCTATCAGAATTTGATAAATATACTGTTATTTAGCTGAGAAAATTAAGGGTTTTCATAAACATAGACATGATGGATTAGGCTTTCAGTTTCACCCTGAGGTTTTTATTTGCTAGAAGTGAGCAGTTTTACTCTTTGTTTCCAGTGAAGTTATCTGTGTGTTGTTTTCACAGTGGCATGGCAGAGAGAAATGCTAATTTTGAAGCTCTTCCTGAGGATTGGCGAGCAAGACTAAAGAGAAGGAAAATGACTCCAAACACATAGTTTTTAAATTTAAAGAAATTTTTAAAACTTGTTTTATGTTCAGTTCAAAGTCTTAACCAGTTTTACTGTTGTCAGATAACTGTAAATGTTATGGGGGAGAGTATACGAATTACCTGGGCAAAAGCAAACACATATAAAGTTTTCACATTTGTGAAATGTAATTTTTCTGTTTTGCTGGAGGGTGAGGTGATTGAAATTGCTTTTACTTGGCTGCCTTTATTCTCACACCGGCAAACTTAGCATGCTAGGTGTATTAACCTCATCAGTCTTGATAACATGTGACTAATGAGTATAACACCTCTGTAGAGGACCCCCTGACAAAGTGAAGGATTTTCCTGCCTAATAGGCTCATTTAGTTCCTAGTGTGGTGCGCTCTCTCGTTAACTTCTACTCCAGAACAAGTGCAATTCAGAAGGCAGCTCTGTATTCTACCTTGCTTGCCTGGGATTGTCCAGATCTCTTTCTGACCTATTCCTCTAGTATGCCTCCCTGAACTGTTGAGATCTGTTAAGTGGTTTGTCTTGTGCTGTTAGGTGACCATACTCTTTAGAGTAGTTTTTCCACAAACTCTAGAACTCAGTCATTTCACACACACTAGGTGGCACGTTTAAATTTTAATACAAGCAGCAGCAGGTATTCATATCCTTGATTTTGAGAATTTCCCCAACTATGTGGCAGTAAATGCAACAATAGCCACCCTGTGTATTTGTGTCTCCATTGTCTTACCCTGTTCCAAAACTTACCTCCTTTCTTTGTGTGAATGTATCCTCCATAAAATTTCAGTATTTAAAATGCAGTTTACTGTTCTGTACTTTTTATTGTATCACAATCAGGTAAAAGTCACTTTAAACTGAAGAAAAGGCAAATTGTGTTTTAAAGCTCTTTGTATTTCTCCAGTTTCTGACCTTGTAAATTTGTACATATGCACTAATAAAGCTTTTTTATACTTCTGACTGGTCATCCTTTTGCTCTTCAAAGCCTGTTATCACCTGATTATGTAACCAGGACTTATTTTAAGTCAATTACTGTTTTTTCTAACCAAATTTGATGTAAGGTGCAAACATTGAAGAACAGGTTTCAGGAAAAAGAAAAGCAGCAGGGTCTTGAGTCAGGTGAGGGGGGGTGGTGGGGCAGGGGTGGGAAAGAAGGCCTCCACTCCCAGATGGTACTGTGTGACCTAAACTTTGGGAGCTCGTGCCCTGTCTGTAATATTAGCCCATATTTGACCTACTGTAAGTCCTGGAAATGATGTAATATGGCTCACATCTTGAAAAAAGTAAAGGTGCTTTATAGCTTTTCCCCTCTCGCTGCTGCTGATAAACAAGGCACGTGGGTATATTCGCATAAAATTGACCAAAGACAATAGTTGGAGTTTTATCCCAGTATGTTTCTATGCATATAATTAAAGTTTTTTTTACATAATAAACCAGAATGTGTGGATTTAATTTGCTGACTTTGTTTCCTGTAGTTTTTCAATGTACCGTAGAAGGTCATTTTTCCATTCTGGCTATGGGGTGGAGAGAGTAACGCAAGGTGACAGAAGAGGGGAAGCAGCTCCCTTGGAGCAAAAAGCTTAGCAGTTAATCTAAAGCTGAAGCACAGAAACGAACTTGGAAATGTGTTGAGGACTGCTGGCTTGGTTCTCCGATTTCGACTCCCAGCGCGAGGCTGTAACGTCAGAGAGCGGAAAGGGTGGTGCCCGCCACTCCGTGGAGGCGGGGCCGAGCTCCCGGAAGTGCCCGGCCGCCCCGCCCTCCTTCCGCTTCCCGCTCACGGTTGCTAGGCTACCTGGGTCCGCCTAGAAGGTGGTGCTGGCGAGCGAGGCCGGGCGTCCTGTGTTGCACCGCCTGGCCTTCCGCCTCGCCCAGGCTCCGCGGGCGCCGCCGCCACCCCTGCTGCCCGGGGCAGGCTGGGGCACGGACACGGTAGCGCTCTTCGCTCTGCCCTCCCAGGGAGTCTCTGCTTAGGAAGCCCGCCTCACCTTCCCCGGACCCGGCAGCCCTCAACCCTCTCGGCTTTCGGGACCCACTCGCCCGACCCCTGGCCTTTCTCTGCCTTCCGCCCGAGAGGACTACGCCGCGTGCCCCTTTTCCTTTCACTCTCCTGTGGCGGCCGTCTCCCGTCGCAGGGAGAGGGAAGCATGAGGCCTGCAAGGGCCCTGGCGTCGCGGGAGGAGGAGGCGGGAGGACACGCCGCCTTCCCTGACTCTGCAGGTGCGCCTCCTGGCCTCGCGGCTGGCCACCTGCCGGGTGCTGGCTTGACCGAGGAGGCTGGGCTGGCAGGATTTCCTAAGGGCAAGCGGAGGCGGGGCGGGGGAAGAAGCATCGGCAGTTTCTTGACTTGCCTTCTTCTGGCCTTCTAGCTTCCCCTGTGTAAGCTGCTGCCTCTTCGGGAATTGAGACGGCATCGCCGACTGCTCTCAGCACACCACGCCGAAGTAACATGTTCCCAGCCTTGGAAACAGAGCTAAAGCAGGAGGTCGGTACACATCCTCCTCAGGAACTCCAAGGAAATCCAGGACTAGATCCGAAGGGATGTGCTGGTGGCACCATTTTCCAGCTGACAGTCGTGGTCCCCGACGAAGACGATGCATATGAGTGCCTTCGCTTGATTTGTTTACATTATCTGTCTAGCACACTGTCCTGGGCAACAGTGCTCGTGTACTGCCTTATTTTTTGGACAGGGTCCCACTCTCGCCCAGGCTGGCTCAGCCTTCTGAGTAGCTGGGACTACAGACACGTGCCACCACACCCAGATTCCTTTTATAATGTTTTTTGTGGAGACAGGTCTCACGATGTTTCCCAGGCTGGTCTCAAATTCCTGGGCTCAAGCGATTCTCTCGCCTGGCCTCCAAAAGTGCTGGATTATAGGTGTGAGCCACCACACCCAGCCTTGTGTGCTTCTTGTGAAGAGTTCATTGTCATTTGAAAGGACTGTCCTGATTGAGGTGGCCTTTCCTTTGGCAGGTTCTTCCTGATCCCTATGAAGACTTTATGTATCGCCATCTTCAGTATTATGGCTACTTTAAAGGTAATACTGCAGTTTTCTCTAGCATCACCTTTCCCTGGGTTCCAGAAGTGAATTGTTTCATTAACTGAGAAATTTGTGCTTGCATAAACTAATCAATGATTTTGCCATTATCATTAGTAAAAAGTACTCTTTTCCCCCATTTATCTGCTATGTCACCTCTGCCAAGTAAGAGTTACTTTATTCAAAGTATTTTTCTGGACTCTCTGTTCCACCGGTTTGCTTGCGCATCCTTGCATCAATATCGCCATCTCTTAATTACTGTATGGCATTAAAGGAGTCTTGATATCTGGAAAGGCATATCCTCCCACCTTGTTTTTCAAAAACTTCTCTTCTACCCTCTCTGAAGATTTGCTGGCTGTACAATAGACAGATTAATAGGAGAAAAAGGCATACAAATTTATGTGTACATGAACATGGGAGTCTTGCAAATATATAACTCAAAGGACTAGATGGTTGAGGTTTTAATACTCTTCACAGGGGAGAAGGAAATGGGGGAATGTAGCCAGTTATGAAGGGGACTCGGTTCTTTTCAGAGGAAATGAATGAGGCCAAACAACAGTGACTTGGGACAAAGTTCCTTTGACCTCTGGGAAAGGCAGTGGGAAGGTGCGGGGTGGAGCTTCACTGTGAACAAAGGTGGTCTTTTGCAGATAAAGCCTCCCAAGTAATCTCTCAGAGGTGCTCTCAGAGGAATAGTCTGGTTGTTTGATGAAATTTCGGATTGGGGTCTTAAGAAAACTGAATTTCTTTTGGAAAAAAGTTTCCAGAGAGAGGATCCCTCCCTGTGTTTGCATTAGCAGGAAACAGGAATGGTCAGAAAGTCCTCGGTTCTGAGGCATCTTCTAAGGCCATGCTGTTATAGTTCATAGTGTTCAGTATGCCCAGATACCGGACTTTTGGGGTATCATCTGAGCCCCAGCACAGCTCTTACAACTACTGGGTCTTTCTGCCTTCCAAGCCCTTTCTAGTTCTACTATACCAGGCTGCTTCTCAAATCTTCTCCTCATACTTGTTCCCTCAGCTGTAAAATGGGGATAATTATACTTAACTCACAAAGTTGGAAAGTGAATGCACTTTGAAAAATGGGATGTATTCCTTGCAAGAAGTAGTGGTGCTTTGGGTAGTAGTGGTTTTGGTATTGACGTAGGTGTTAGAGGTGATGAGCCAAACTTCCAGCAACTTTAATTAAGCTGCCTGTTCTTAGCTCAGAGACGCAGTTTGCCGAACTCTGCTACACATCATCATGTTTGGAAGAATAACCCTCAATACCTGTTGAATGGCTCTCTTGGGGAAAGAGATGATTTAACACAAGATACCCTGCAAAGGAAGCTTCCATGTGAGTAATAATTAATTAGTATGTATGGCCCCCTCCCCCTCAAAAAAACTTCACTGTCTAGTTAATTTTCTGGGTATTCAGGAGACCTGACCTAACACGGGAGAAGTCAGAGAAGCAGCTTTGGCCCCTGTTTGTGCATCACTAAAAACTATTCTCTCCCTGGTACAATTGCTTGCATCTTGGAAGGCTGGACAGGAGGGTTACTTGAGCCCAGGAGTTAAGGCTTCAGTGAGCTATGATCACCCCACTGCTCTCCAGCCTGGGCAAAGCTCAAATTAAAATACTGTACTTTCTGGATTATCATCCTTCAAATTGTTGAAACATTTGTTAAGCTTTCTCTTGTTTTTTGTTTGTTTTTGAGTTGGGTTCTCAATCTGTTGGCCAGGCTGGAGTACAGTGACACGATCACGGCTCACTGCAGCCTCAACCTTTTGGGCTCAGGCAGTCCTGCCTCAGACTCCTGAGGAGCTGGGACTACAGGCATGCGCCACCACACCCAACTAACTTTTTGTTTTTGAAGGCTCTTTTCATCAAGAGTAATACATTGATATTTCAAACAGTCGTGATGTATATGCTTGCTAAGACACTTTGCATAGAAGTAGCAGAAATCAGCCGGACTCTGTGGCTCAGCCTGTAATCACGCGCCTTTGGGAGGCTGAGGTGAGTGGATTGCCTGAGCCCGCGGGTTCGAGACTCGCCTGGGCAGCAAGACTTCATCTCTACAATAAATCAAAAAATCAGCCAATCGTGGTAGCACGCGCCTGTAATTCCTGATACTTGGAAGGCTGAGGTGGAAGGATCGCTGGAGCCCAGCGGGTCGAGGCTGCGGTGGCCGGGAGCAGCCACTGCACTCCAGTCTGGGCAACAGAGTGAGACTCCAACTCAAAAAGAAAAAACAAAACAAAAAAGAAGTAGCAGAAATCAATTCCAGTTGCTTAAGCAAAAGTAGTTTTTTATAGGGACACAGGTTTCTTCTGGAATTGAAGGGCAGGAATGCAGTTGAATTTCTCCCTCAATACATATCAAAGGAAACTATCCTCCATCATTTCTTGCTATAAAACAGTCTCCTAAATGGTCTCTGGTTCTCTTGTCCTGTGCTGCTCCTCCCAAGCCATTTCCACATAGTAGTGTTCTTTTTTAAACGTAAGTCAAATTGTGTCCCTTTTAAACTTAAAGTCTTTGAATGACACAAGATCCCCAAACGATAAAATATAATACTGATAATTATTATTTATTTATTTATTTATTTATTTATTTTGAGTCAGAGTCTCACTCTGTTGCCCAGACTGGAGTGCAGTGGCATGTTCACGGCCACCACAGCTTTGACCTGCCAGATTTTTTTATTTTTTATGGAGATAGCGTCTCACCATGTTGCCCAGGATGATCTCGAAATCCTGGGCTCAGACAGTCTTCTTGCTTCCACCTCCCAAAGTGCTGGGATTACAGGCATGCACTACCATGCCTGGCCTTTGAGAATTCTTAGAGCAAAAATTTTAATTTCTGTTTGGGAAAAATACCATTAATAAAGTAAAAGGACAAACTGAAAAAAAAAATTTTTTTTTTTTGAGTTGGAGTCTCACTCTGTTGCCCAGGCTAGAGTGCAGTGGCACACTCATGTCTTCCACAGCCTCGACTTGCTTGTGCTCAGGCTATCCTTCCACCTCAGCCTTCCAAGTAGCTGGAACTATAGGCACACGCTACCACGCTTGGCTAATATTTTGATTTATTGTAGAGATGAGGTCTCGCCAAGTTGCCCAGGCTAGTCCCGTGGGGTCAGGCAATCCTCTCACTACAGACTCCCAAAGTGCTGGGATTATAGGCTTGAGCCACCATGCCCAGCCTTGAAAAAAAATTTACAACAAATATGCCAAAGAGTTAATTTCCTTAGCATATAACAGCTCTTACAAATCAGAAAATGAAAGATGATCAAGTAGAAAAATGAGCAAAAGACATGAGTAGGCAGTTCATAGAAAACAAACACAGTCAATAAGCTTATGAAAAGGTACTCAACCCCCCTACTAATTTAAGATGCAAACCAAAATGTCAAGGCACCATTTAAAATTTTGAGACTTAGCCGGGCTCGGTGGCTCAGCCTGTAATCCCGCGCCTTTGGGAGGCTGAGGTGAGTGGATTGCCTGAGCCCGCGGGTTCAAGACCCGCCTGGGCAGCGAGACTTCGTCTCTACAATAAAATAAAAAAATCAGCCGGGCTTGGTAGCGCATGCCTGTAATTCCGGCTACTCGGAAGGCTGAGGCGGAAGGATCGCCGGAGCCCAGCAGGTCGAGGCTGCGGTGGCTGGGAGCGGCCACTGCACTCCAGTCTGGGCGACAGAGTGAGACTCCAATTCAAAAAAAAAAAAACAAATAAAAAGGAATATACAGTATAAGGTGAGAAAATTCAAATGACAGGTCAGGCACAGTATAACACGCCTGTATTCCCAGCGTTTTAGGAGGCTAAGACAGGAGGATCACTTGAGCCCAGGAATTTGAGATCAGCCCAGGAAACATAGCGAGACCTGTGATGACTAAGGCTTTTAGTCCCAACTAGTCAGGAGGCTGAGGCAGGAGATTGCTTGAGCTCTGCCGCTGGAGGCCATGGTGAGCCATTAATGTTCCAGTGCACTCCAGCCTGGGCCACAGAGTGAAGCCCTGGCTCAAAAAAAAAAAAAGTTAAAAAGTAAAGAAAATTAAAATGACAGAAGAAAAGCACATAATAAAAATTTTTTTAAAACCCTACCTGCATCACCCTTGATGTAACCATTATTCTTTTTTTTTTTTTCTTGAGTTAGAGTCTCACTCTGTCACCCAGACTGAAGTGCAGTGGCCGCTCCCAGCCACCGCAGCCTCAACCTTCTGGGCTCCAGCGATCCTTCCGCCTCAGCCTTCCAAGTAGTTTTTTAAGTTTTCAGCAAAGTTTTTTGCAGAAAAAAAGACATTCCAGAGTTAGAATGAGCAAAAGAAACCACCCAGCCACTGTTGCTTTTTTTTTTTTTTTTTTTTTTTTTTTTTTAAGTTGGAGTCTCACTCTGTCGCCCAGACTGGAGTGCAGTGGCCGCTCCCGGCCACCGCAGCCTCGACTTGCTGGGCTCCAGCGATCCTTCCGCCTCAGCCTTCCAAGTAGCCAGAACTATAGGCACGCGCTACCACACCTGGCTAATTTTTTGATTTATTGTAGAGATGAGGTCTCGCCAAGTCGTCCAGGCAGGTCTCAAACCTATGGGCTCAGGCAGTCCATTCATCTCGGCCTCCCAAAGCGGGGGATTACAGGCTGAGCCAACAAGCCTAGCCCAGCCACTATTCTTATAGCTCCTACCCCCACCAAAAAAAATGTTTAAAAAATATTATATCGTTAGTTTTTAAAATATTTTATTATTATATACAAAATATAAATGTATTCATATTATATATTCCTTTCACTTGCACACACAGGATCCTATACACAATCTTCTTTGATTATTTTTTTGTTTTGTTTCATAATATCTCTTGGCCAGGTGTGGTGGCTCAACCTGTAATCCCAGCAGTTTTGGAAGCCAAGACGAGAGGATTGCCTGAACCCAGGGGTTTAAGACCAGCCTGGGCAACTTGGTGAGATCTTGTAACTGCAATAAATCACAAAAAAACTAGCTGAGCCTAGTGGCGTGCGTCTGTAGTTTCAGCTACGTGGGAGGCTAAGGTGGAAGGATCGCCTAAGCCCAGCAGGTGGAGGCTGCAGTGGCTAGGAGCGTGCCACTGCCCTCCATCCTGGGTGACAGAGTGAGACCCCGACTCAAAAAAACAAATTTTATATATATATAATATCTTAGAGATCCTTTTCATATGAGCACCAAAAAAAATCTACTGTTTTTTTTTTTGAGTTGGAGTCTCTCTCTGTCACCCAGACTGGAGTGCAGTGGCCGCTCCTAGCCACTGCAGCCTCCACCTGCTGGGCTCCGGCGATCCTTCCACCTCAGCCTTCCAAGTAGCTGGAACTACAGGTGCGCGCTACCACGCCTGGCTCATTTTGATTTATTGTGGAGATGAGGTATTGCCAAATTGCCCAGGTGGGTCTCGAACCCTCAGGCTCAGGCAATCCACTCACCTCAGCCTCCCAAAGCGCGGGATTACAGGCTGAGCCACCAAGCCCGGCTGCTAATTTTTGATGTATTATAGAGATGAGGTCTCGCCAAGTTGCCCAAGCTGGTCTCGAACCCATGGGCTCAGGCAGTCCACTTACCTCGGCCTCCCAAAGTACTAGGATTACAGGCTGAGCCAACAAGCCCGGCCTACCTTATTTTTTTAAGAGACAATGTCTCCCTTGTTGCCCAGATGAAGTACAATGTCCTGATCATAATATCACAGTTCACTGCAACCTCGAACTCCTGGGCCCAAATGATCATCCCCGCTAAGCATCTCAAGTAGGTAGGACTACAGGCATGCACCACAACACCTCACTAGTTTTTTTTTTGAGTTGGAGTCTCACTCTGTCGCCCAGACCGGAGTGCATTGGCCACTTCCGGCCACCGCAGCGTCGACCTGCTGGGCTCCGGCGATCCTTCCGCCTCAGCCTTCC